TTTTTTTTTTTTTTTTTAATGTCCATCTTGGTAACAAGGTCGAATATGTCCAATTTTTATTTAATTTTATTTTTTTTGGTGCTCCATCTATTGGTGGGGAGCGTCACCTGCTAGAATATGTCCATCTTCTGAGTTCTGCTTTAGTGGAAGTAGGTGCCGGTACTGCATGGATGGTCTTCCTACCTTCCATTTTAATAAAAGGACGGCAGCAAAAAAAAAAAAAAAAAAAAAAAAAAGGGCGGCAGCCGTGAGATATGAAAATTGAACCGGCTGGGCCCCACGCAATTCAGAATGATTTCATTTTGTTCATCTGATTGGCTCTGGATTCGAACTTGGGTCCGGTATTCAGCAGAGTTCATTGGTGTACCAACTGAGGTAGGCCCGTGGTAGGGTCTAAGCCGTATAACCAGTCATTCTGGGAGGCGCTGTGGATGACTTAGCTATTTTTAGACTTTTCATTTATCCGGTGTCTCCCTAGGCTACCAGAGTGGCCCGGGACACCAAAAAAAAAAAAAAAAAAACTATTTTAAAATTTTATTTTATATTTTAAATTGGGTAAAGAATTTCGATGTGACCCCGAGGCAAAAGTTGTTCAGTTTATTTTTCTGCATAACATAGTTTTTTTTTCAGATTTTTCGGTTTCCTTTTCTTTTTTTTTTTGGCTGGGACCTTCCCTGGTCCGCACGGCCGGGAGGCCCCGGAAAACAGGGTGATCCGGGCGGCCCGGCTGGCAGCCCAGGTGTTTCCTCAATATTAGGTGCTATCAATTTCATTACGACTATTTTAGATTTTTCGGATTTTTTTTCCTTTTTTCTTTTTTTGCTGGGACCTTCCCTGGTCCTTGCACGGCTGGGCCGCCCGGGAAAACAGGGTAATCCGGGCGGCCGGGCTGGTAGCCTAGGTGTTTCCTCAACATTAGGTGGGCTGGTAGCCTGGGTGTTTCCTCAACAGTAGGTGCCATCAATTTCATTACGCCTATTTTTAACATGCACGGCCCAGGGATGAGATTCATCTATCACCACGGGGCCTAGCTCAGTTGGTACACCCACGAACTGCTGAAATACAGATCCAAGTTTGGATCAAGACACACAATCAGATGACCAGAGAAAATAAAATCATTCTGAATTACCTGGGGACCGGTCAGTTCAATCATGATGACATCTCAAGGCCCTCTCCCTTTAAAAAAAGAAGGAAGATCCATCTATCTCAGAGATAGATCTTGGACAGATCTGTAAATCCTAGTAGGGTGAAGTATCGCTGACCCTGCTAGCAGACATGGCCGCCGTTGCTGTGCCAAAAAAAACGTTGATCTTGACACTGCGCAAGATGTCTCTTTTGTTTCTGGAAAAGGGCGAAGCCCCTCACATTAATCAATCCATCAGGATTTGAGCTCAGGATCGGGTTTATCGAAAGTTATACCTTTTTACCATACAGTCACAAGGCAAGTACACAAGGCTTCGTTGACGGACAACTGGGGTAGTACGTCACAGAGAGCTGCAATTCCGCAGTGTCACCTCCACATCAGCATCTACCACTACAGTAAACTGCACTGAAAACCTGTGGCCGTGTGGTGGAGGGAAGTTTCTAAAAGCAACCAACACTCGAAATCAGATTTGTTCCGTTAGGCAGGCTGGTCAGGGGCCAAGACTGGCCCAGTCTACCTACCGGAGCATAGTTATGAGGGGGGGGGGGACTAGGCAGGTGGGCCACGTGGAAAAGCTGC